CTATAATTACTACATATCACTTCTATAATCAGAATATTTTTTAAGAGGGGAATTACTTAATAAAGGGTGGATACAAATCTGAATTTGTAATACAACTCTGAACATATCTGGGGCAGCACTGCTTCTATTACACAACAATGGCAGTGAAAAAAGACGAGGCACTCCCTTTACCACAAAAAGCACATAAATAAGTACAACCCTGTCAGAAAGAAATTTTGCAGTCTCTTTCAACATTTTTTTTAAGTAGGCTCCACACCCAACATGGAGCTTGAACTCACAACACCAAGATCTAGAGTCGCATGCTCTACCAACTGAGCCAGACAGGCATCCCTCTTTCAACATTTTAAATCTGTCTGTCTTCTAACCAAGTAATTCCAGTCTTATAAGTTTATCCTAAAGATTGCTTGCACAGGGGCGCCTGGGTGGCTCAGATGGTTAACTGTCTGCCTTCGGCTCAGGTCATGACCTCGGGGTCCTGGGATCGAGCCCCGCTTCGAGCTCCCTGCTCAGCCCTCTCCCACTGCCTCTACCCCTGCTTGTGCTCTCTCTGTCTCTCTCTGTCTCTCTCTCTCAAATGAATAAAAAAAAATCTTAAAAAAAAAAAGATTATTTGCACAAATAAAGAAGGATACATGGACCAAGATGGTACAGCAACATTATTTGTGATGGTGGGAAATGGCAACCTCAATGTCCATCACTAGGGGATTGCATAAATAAATTCTGGTATGCCCATATAATAGAATACAATGCAGGTCTTTTTTAAATGAAGTAGATCTATATGTAATGACTTGGGAAAATATACATGATATATCGTTAAAGGGCCAGGGATAAGTCAAAAAAGCAGGCTGGTTGGTTGGTTTTTTATTTTATTTATTTATTTGACAAAGAGAGAGAGCATGAGCAGGGGGAGGGGCAGAGGGAGAAGCAGGCTCCCTGCCAAGCAGGGAGCCCAATGTGGGACTCGATCCCAGGACCCCAAGATCATGACCTGAGCCGAAGGCAGACACTTAACCAACTGAGCCACCCAGGCGTCCCCAGGCCGGTTTTTTTTAAAAGTATAGTTTTCTATAAAATAGCCAATAGCACCTTACATAAAGAGTTACAACAACATTGTGAAATAGGTATTGTTATCATCCTCACTTTACAGATGAGGAAACAGAGTTAAATCATAACTTGCTCAATGAGTACAGACATGTGACTTTGAACTCATGTGCTTAGTCACTGCTATATCCAGGAATCACTTCTCCCTTTAATTAGACTTGTTTAAGTTGGGGTTTTTCCACTTTCAACCAAGAAAATCCTAATAAACAATCCAAATATAGCTCAGTAGAGACTAGATAAATAATAGCACAATAATATAATGGAATACTAGGTAGCTTTTAAAAAAAAGAAACTACGGGGCACCTGGGTGGCTCAGTTGGTTGAGCGTCTGCCTTCAGCTCGGGTCATGATCTTGGGTCTCAGGGTCCTGGGATCGAGCCCCGCATCAGGCTCCCTGCTCAGCAGGGAGTCTGCTTCTCCTTCTCCTCCCTCCCTGCCACTCGTGCTCACTCTCTTGCTCTCTCAATAAATAAAATCTTAAAAAAATAATAAAAAGAAATAAACAGAAGAAACTACATATATTAATATTAAAATAAACCTAATATAAGATAGAAAAGCAAGTTTATAGAAGATATACGTAAGTATATGTTTTAAGATAATAGACAAAAGTTTATACAAAAAAGGTTGGAAGTATTAACAGTTAAATGTCATAAAAACAATACTAAAGCAAAATTCTTATAATACATATTTACACTTGTGAATCTCTTTTGAAATATCATTATTATTAATTCTTTCTGACTATAAAAGCCTTCCCTTTCATTGTAGTAGGGAGTGGACAGGAGAAGAATGAGACTAAAACAGAGAGACCCTTTTACTTTACATGCTTCCAAATTGCTTGAATTTATTAGAAGAATTTATGTGATAACAACCCAACTCAAACTGCTATAAGCAAAAAAAAAAAAAAAAAAGTGTGTAGGGAGGGAATATTGAATGGACAGTGGGCCAGCTCACAAAATCCAAGGAAAAGCTGTCCAGCTAAGCCTAAACCATGGCAAGGTGGGCAACAGGAGGCCTCAGCCCTAGAACCAGAATATCGACTTTCACCAAGAGCCTCTGGGTCTTTTGTCTCCGCTTCCCTAGGCATGTCGGCCTCAGGCCCTCCTACTATAGTCTTTCTCCATGGTGAGGGGTCACGACTTCCTGCAGCTCCCCCAGGCACAGCCTCTCAATCTCACCACCGAGAAGGAAACAGGCTCTTCTTCCGAGGATGGACTCTGAATGGTCACAAACCCACTGCAGACCAACCCTGTGAGCAGGGTAGTGGGAATTACGACTTCAGCTTACCTCCAGAGTCGGCAGCTCTATTCAGCCAGAAGTTGGGAGTGGGGTGGAAAAGGAGAGGGGAAGACAGAAGCAATGTTTCTTTAGGGCAGAAGGGAGAGGTGCTGGGTACACCAAATGATTAATGTGTACTACACGAGCATAAATTTCTCTCAGAAAAAAATTTTAGAGCTATTTTCACCTTGTGTATGTGTAAATATATATTTTTTTCAAGTGACAAGGAGTGTGTACAATAACGTTCTCTGAAACAGTTTTATAATCATTAGAAGTTGTAAACAACCTATAGTTAACATCTGTTGATTTTTTTTCCTCTTGGATTGTCCCCTTTCCTCCCTCCGGACACAATGCACCCAATGTCCCATGTCAGCTGAACCAATTCTACCCCACCGTACTTCCTGTGACCACAACAACCGGCCTGAAGCGTGGATGTGTAATCTAACATGAACCAATCAGGGTCTTTGTCCAGGACATTTTCTTTTCAGGTAGTACTAGTGTTGGGGCTGTGACTCTAGAAGATTTTTTTCACCTGGAGCTGGTAGAAAAGCATTATTTCCTGTCAGGTCAGGAAGCTGCCAAGATAGAATCTGGAACTTCCAATTTTGTCTCTTACACATGAGGTGGGGCCAGCCTAAGAATGAAGCTGTTTATGCCAAAATAAACAGAGATGAGGGGCGCCTGGGCGGCTCAGTCGGTTGAGGGTCTGCCTTGGGCTCAGGTCATGGTCCCAGGGTCCTGGGATCGAGTCCCATATCGGGCTCCCTGCTCAGCGGGGAGTCTGTTTCTCCCTCTCCCTCTGCCCCTCCACCCCGCTTAAGCTCTCTCTCTCTCTCTCAAATAATAAATCTTTTTTAAAAATTACAAAAAAGAAAATAAAACAAAACAAAAAACCCAGAAATGAGACATGAGGACATGGGGACTCCTGATGCATTAGAGTCCCCAGTTGCCTCTGAGGCAAGTAAATACTAAATCTAGCCTCTGACGCTAACACTACCCTGCTCGCTCTTCTGCAAATACGACTACATGGGCCAATTAACTCCCTCTTTAGCCTAAGGCTGTTTGAGTTGGGATTCTTCCAGCTTCAACCAAGAGAATCCTAATAAACAATCTGAATATAGATCAATAGAGGCTGGAAACCTTATGGCACAATAATAAAATACTATGTAGCTTTTGAAAAGAACAATCTATATTAACGTTTAAAAAATCCCCGCATCAGGCTCCCTGCTCCACGGGAAGCCTGCTTCTTCTTCCTCCCCCACTCCCCCTGCTTGTGTTCCCTCTCTCACTGTGTCTCTCTCTGTCAAATAAATAAATAAAATCTCTAATATAAGGAGAAAAGCGAGTTTATAGGACAGGAGTATGTGTGTATACGTGTGTGTGTGCCTGTGTTTCTGTGTGTCTATATGGTTTGATATACACACACATACTTAGGGAGAGTGAAAAGGACACAATGTTCCAAAAGGTTAATACTGGTTACCTCTGGAGGCTTGTATGGGCATGACTTTCACTTTTTAAATATACTTGTGCATTTCTTAATTTTCCAAAGAGGATATACTACTTTTATAAAATGAAAATTTTAAGCCAAAAATAACTACAGAACATGAATTGTAACCCATGTATGTTATACAACTTCCCGCTTTGTTGCTTCTGTTCCATTTAAGAAACAGAGGGCTGGGCATTTGGAGACCCAGGCTCCTAGTCCAGATTTTCACTGTGTTCTATAACCTTGGGCAAGGTGGTTTGCTTCTGTGGGCCTCAGTTTCTTTCTCTCTAAGAGGGATACTGGAAATAACAGCAGCTACTATTTCCCTGGTTTCTATGTCCAAGCACTGTGCTAAATAGCTTCCTCTCAACAGCTCCCTGAGTTGAGCATTACCCCGTTTTCCATATATGAAAACCAAAGCACAAGTGTTGGAATCAGAATTCGAACTCAGGTTTAGCTGATGCCGAAGCCATATTCTTTCCACTACACACTCTCTTAGCCACCTCTTGCCTCATGGCTCATGGTTTCCTGGTGCTAGAAGCTAGCACTTACACCCAGGACTTGACCAAAATCCTCCACCTAGAAACATCATTCTAAAGTAATCCCCGTCACCTTTATCATTGCTAACGTTTATTCTTATGTTGTATCAAACTCGAAAACAGGATGTTGCAACCAGTACTACTGATATTTTGGACTGAAAAATTCTTTGTTGTTAGGAGCTGTCCTGGGTGCTGTAGGAGGTTGGCAACATCTCTGGCATCTACCCACTAGATGTCAGTGGTGCCCACCCTTCAACTGTGACACCAGAAATGCCTCCAGACACAGTGCCAGGTGTCCCCTGGGGGGGGGGGGGGAGTCACCCCAGGGTTGAGAACCCTGCTCTAAAAGGAGGAAAAAGCCAAGTACCTGCATTAACCCTGATGGGGAACTATTGAAAGAAGACACTGAATCTAGGAAATATTTCTACCCACATGATTCTGTGACTTACCAGCTCGCGTTACAATCTCACGCTCCAAGTGTCTCATGGGTGTGTGTCCTGTGCAGAACACTGTCCCACGTACCTATACATTAACTATGAAAGATGTGCAGGAAAGGGGAAGGAGAATAAATCTTGCTCTCTCAATAATGACTCCACTTCGCCATTATGAAATTCACCTTTGAGAGAAGAGCCACCAGGAGCCTGCTGAGTAAGAATGGGTATTCAACAGAGAACAGCACTACTTGAAGACAATGCTGATTTTATTCCAGCTAAATAAAGCAACGCACAAGGCACCTGGGTAATAAGCTTAACTCAAGGGGCAAAAGCCAAGAAACAAGGATTTTTTTGTGTTTGTTTTAATTATCAGTCACTGCACATAGCTCTCTTCCACACCTCCTCTCAGAAAGTGTGGGCTAACAAATCCCATGCAAAGGAACATAGGAAAGAGAAAAGGGGAAATGGAATTCATCCAGCATACTGTTGAAGGTGGTTTCTCTAAGTTCTCTTCTATAAACTGCTCCATCAACATGGTCCACTCCGGATTATTTTAATATCATGCCCATCTTCCCTGCAAATTGAACAACCATAAAGACACACTTATTACCCACCATACTGAAACTGTCCTGCTCTTTGTACCCAACAGACCCATGTCATTACACATTAGATTCCTTCTTTTTTTTTTTTTTTAAAGATTTTATTTATTTATTTGAGAGAGAGAGAGAATGAGAGACAGAGAGCATGAGAGGAAGGAGGGTCAGAGGGAGAAGCAGACTCCCTGCCAAGCAGGGAGACCGATGCGGGACTCGATCCCGGGACTCCAGGATCATGACCTGAGCCGAAGGCAGTCGCTTAACCAACTGAGCCACTCAGGCGCCCCACATTAGATTCCTTCTAAGGGGATGCTGACTTAATCATTTTTAGAGCTAAACCTGGTAAACAATGAATGTGAAAGCCTCAACTCTGCCATTTTTTCCCTGTGAGTGACATTAGGGCATCAGGTGTAACACATACTACTTAGTATTCTCCTGGCAGAATTATCAAGACCTATGTCCCAGCTTGTAATGAAGGTTGTACAGGTTACCTGCACATGCCCTCTGAATTTAAAAGAATATTCGAGGGAACATTCGGTGGAACATACAACTCTTGATCTCAGCGTGGTGAGTTCAAACCCCACACTGCGTATGGAGCCTACTTAAAAAAAATTTTGGGGCGTCTGGGTGGCTCAGTTGGTTAAGCGACTGCCTTCGGCTCAGGTCATGATCCTGGAGTCCCTGGATCAAGTCCCGCATCGGGCTCCCTGCTCGGCAGGGAGTCTGCTTCTCCCTCTGACCCTCCTCCCTCTCATGCTCTCTGTCTCTCATTCTCTCTCTCTCAAATAAATAAATAAAATCTTTAAAAAAAATTTTTTTAAATAAAAAATATAGATAAATAAATAAATAAAATAAATGACTATTAGATATTTCACACAGTTTAACTATTAGATATACTCTTAATTTGGGGAAACTGCCCATCCATGGATAGTAACATAACCTGATTATCTGGCCTATAGTTGGTTAATCACAAATGCCATTCTCTAACTTTGACCTGGAAAATGCACTGAAGGAGTCTGTCTTTCTAAATGTCAGTTTGAAAACAGATAATGTCACATTTGATTCTGACATCCAAGAAAAGAGTTGCTACTTCCTAAGTAATCAAAAATCAAGAAAAGGACTAAAGAAAACTTGACTAGTCTATACTGTAAAATTATGATTTTACCTGATTTTCAAACACAGAGTACACTCATTGGGATAAGTGGACATGTCGCTTCCACACACGGGGCTAAAGTCTCTGGGACATCCTGGTAATTTATACTGATTGCAGCTTGGCTAGAAAAGAGAAAGGAGGACAGAAATTACAGAACTAAGACATTCTCATCACAAAATAGCTGAGGGTGGGCGCCTGGGTGGCTCAGTCGTTAAGCGTCTGCCTTCGGCTCGGGTCATGATCCCAGGGTCCTGGGATCGAGTCCCACATCAGGCTCCCGGCTCGGCAGGAAGCCTGCTTCTCGCTCTCCCACTCCCCCTGCTTATGTGCCTGCTCTCGCTATCTCTCTCTCTGTCAAATAAATAAATAAATAATCTTTAAAAAACAAACAAACAAACAAAATAGCTGAGGGGAAGACAAAGTCCCAAGTCTCCTAGATTTCCTAGAAACATCCTACAAAAATATTTGTTTTCCACACACAAAATGATTTTTTTTTTTTAAGATTTTTTTATTTATTTATTTGAGAGAGAGAGAATGAGAGACAGAGAGCACATGAGAGGGGGGAGGGTCAGAGGGAGAAGCAGGCTCCCCGCCGAGCAGGGAGCCCGATGCGGGACTCGATCCAGGGACTCCAGGATCATGACCTGAGCCGAAGGCAGTCGCTCAACCAACTGAGCCACCCAGGCGCCCACAAAATCATTTTTCTAATGCAAAAACCAGATGCAACATTGAAGCAATGATTTAATACCTACTATGTAAGAAAAGGACCTCCCCAGTCTGGCTGATTTTTATTTATTCATTATTTTTTAATTTAATTTTATTTATTCGTTTAGAAAGGGAGGGGAGATAGGAGGGAGAGACGGAAAGAGAGACAGAGAAAATCTCAAGCAGACTCCACACCCAGAGCAGTGCCCGATGCAGGACTCGATCTCACGACCCTGAGATCATGACCTGAGCCAAAATCAAAAGTCAGACGCCCAAATGACTGAGCCACCCAAGTGCCCCAGTCTGGCTGATTTTTAAATGAAATTCCAAGACAGACCACCATACCCACTTTCCAATCCTCTAGCTTTGTAATTTGCACTCTACTACTATCTCCACATTAATGTTGTTACATTCCACCTTAATCCCTTGACATAATGTCAAGACAACTCAGGAATCTAATGTTTTATTCTGGACCTTTAAGATACTGGCATGTAACCAAGAGCACCCAAAGAAAGCAAGAGGTTCATAACTGGACCTTCCTTAGGGGTTGTTATGGGTTGAATTCTACCCACTCAAAAAGTGATGTTAAAGTCATAACCACCTCAGAAAGTGACCTTATTGGACATAGGGTCTTTATATAAGGAATTGAGTTAAAATGAGGTCAGTAGAATGGACCCTAATCCAATATGACTGGTGTCCTTACAAAAAGGGAAAATTTGGACATAGAGTCACAAACAGAGAGAAGATCACGTGAAGGCACAGAGAATGCCATTTACAAGCCAAGGAACCCGTGGGACTACCAGAACCTAGGGGAAAGGCATGAAACAGATTCCCCTCCCCCCCACCCAGCCCTCAGGAGGAACCAATTCTACCACCACCTTGATGTAGGACCTCTACCCTCCAGAACTGGGGGACAATCAATTTCTGCTGTTTAAGCCCCCCAGTTTGTGGTGCTTTATGACAGCAGCCCCAAGAAACTGATGGGGGTCATGGCACTCAATCCTGTGATTAGATGGATTTGAGGCCAGGCAGATAAAATATCTTGCTGTTAGCTTCTCATCTCCAGCAGGGCCAGGACTAGACGTGGTCATAGTGATCAGACTATGGTGTGCAGAGTCTCACTTTAACAAAGGTCAAACATATGGCCCGCTACCTTTCTGTTTTATATATTCACATTTATATATATATACTTGTTTTAGTAAATCGTGATCACTTTTCCTCACTTCAGAATAAAAGAGTCACCCTGTTTTAGCACTGAATAAATGCAACCATGTTTCTATTGATATTATCTGGATTTATAAAGACCTAAACAGTGCTGGCCTGGGGCCAACCTCTAAAGTACAAGAGGTTTTGTTGACCCTTTCCATCCTCCGTTCAGCCCTCATTTCGGAGCTTGATGTGCTCCCCGGGGCTCAGCAAGATGATGCCTTGTAGGGCCGCTCTCACAGGCCACATTGTAGGATGGCAGCACCATGCGCTCCTATTTTAAGTCTTTGTTACTTGCAGCCGAATCTAATCCTAACTGATACAAGAGATAGGACCTTTCCTTTGAATGTTTCAACTGCAGCTGACCCTTGAACAACATGGGTTTAAATGTATTTTCTCTTCCTTATGATTTTCTTAATAACATTTTCTTTTCTCTAACTTATAAAAATACAGGTAAGATAAGGATGTAACACATACACAAAATGTGTATTAATCAACTCTTTTTTTAATTTTTTTGTAGAGAAGGAGAGAGAGGGAGGAGTGCAGGACGGGTAGAGGGAGAGAGAGAATCTTAAGCAGACTCCACACCCAGGTCAGAGCCCAAGGAGGGACTTGATCTCATGACCCTGAGGTCATGGCCTGAGCCGAAATCAAGAGTCAGATGATTAACCAACTGAGCCACCCAGGTGCCTCTAATCAACTCTTTATGTTATCAGTAAGGCTTCTGGTGAACAGTAGGCTATGAGCAGTTAAATTTTAGAGTCAAGGGCGCCTGGGTGGCTCAGTTGGTTAAGCGACTGCCTTTGGCTCAGGTCATGATCCTGGAGTCCCTGGATCGAGTCCTGCATCGGGCTCCCTGCTCGGCAGGGAGTCTGCTTCTCCCTCTGACCCTCCTCCCTCTCATGCTCTCTCTCTCTCATTCTCTCTCTCAAATAAATAAATAAAATCTTTAAAATTAAAAAAAAAATTAAAAATAAATAAATAAATAAATTTTAGAGTCAAAAGTTACACTCAGATTTTTGACTATGGGAGGGGGGATCAGTACTCCCTAACCCCCACATTATTCAAGGGTCAACTGTAATTAAGAGTTCTTTGTGCTATCACTACAAAAATGATACCCATAATAAGTCCACACATAATAAGTCCATGATTTCCTGTTTTGGTTTCTTTAAAACAGGATTTCTTGGGGCACCTGGGTGGCTCAGTTGTTAAGCATCTGCCTTCAGCTCAGGTCATGATCCCAGGGTCCTGGGATTGAGCCCCACATCGGGCTCCCTGCTCCGTGGGGAAGCCTGCTTCTCCCTCTCCCTCTGCTTGTGTTCCCTCTCTCGCTGTGTCTCTCTCTGTCAATAAATAAATAAAATCTTAAAAAAAAATAAAAATAAAAAAATAAAATAAAACAGGATTTCTCAATCATAATTCACATTCTGGACCAGATAATTCTTTGGGGTGGGAGGTTATCCTGTCTGTTGTAGGATATTCTCTATCCACTAGATGCCAGTGTCATCCCCCCTATCATGAGAATCAAAAATAACAGTCTAAATGTCTGCTAGAGGGCAAAATTGCCCCCGGCTGAGAATCACTATTTTTTTTTTTAAAGATTTTATTTATTTATTTGTCAGAGAGAGAGAGAGAGATCACAAGCAGGGGGAGCAGTAGGCAGAAGGAGAGGGAGAAGAAGGCTCCCCGCCGAGCAAGGAGCCCGATGCGGGACTCGATCCCAGGACAATGGGATCATGACCTAAGCTGAAGGCAGATGCCCAACCAACTGAGCCACCCAGGCGTCCCTGAGAATCACTATTTTAAAATACAGTGAAAATTTAAGGGACACCTGGCTGTCTCCGTCGGTAAAGAATGTGACTCTTGATCTTGGGGTTGTAGATTCGAGCCCCACGTTGGGTATAGAAATTATTTAAAAATAAAATCTTAAAAAAAGTACAGTGAGAATTTAAAACAATGTAATATACAATAGTTGTTTCACCTACACCTAATTCAACAGCAATTTTGTTTAGCAATTTGTCTTTTAGCAAGTCTTTCAAAAGCATTCAATTCAGTCCTCATATAAACTATGACTTTATTTCTTTACACTCATGTTTATGTTGTCCTTACATTTTTGGTTAAAATAAGGCTGGTAACTGCCATAACAGGCTTGTGAACTCACACACTTAAGTATGGGTAGGAATACAACTACACCGATGGGAAAAAGCCTACTGGCATACAAGAGAGTAGGCTATCTGTAGCCAGTAAGTGATCATTGTGCTGTGGAGATTGTTCAGAGAGAAAGGAGAGGGTCGTTTGTGAGTTGCTTAAGTGGAAGGGGTTCAGTGAGTGTTTAGTGTTAACAACTAGCCCCGGTGGACCCAGAGAAGGCTACCTGTGCACGTCACCTCAGAAGCTTAAAAACACTGATTTAGTACCATTTGCAATGACAAGGATGGAGCTAGTGAGCTAAGCAAAAGGAGTCAGAGAAAGACAAATACCATATGATTTCACTCATATGTGGAAATTAAGAAACAAAACAAACCAGCAAAGGGAAAACAAAACTGAGAGGGAGGCAAACCAAGAAACAGACTCAACTATAGAGAACAATCTGATGGTTACCAGAGGGGATGTGTGTTGCGGGGGGGAATGGGTGAAAGAGGTGATGGGGATTAAGGAGAGCATTTGCTGTGATGTGAAATTAAGAAAAAGATCCATTTATAACAGCATTAAAAAGAATGAGCACCAGGTGATGAGCACCAGGTGATGTATGGAAGTGTTGAATCACTATATTATACACCTGAGAGTAGTATTACACTGTATGTTAATTAACTGGAATTTAAATAAAAACTTTTTAAAAACTTAAAAAAAAAACAAAACAAGAAAATACTGATTTGGGGCCTCATGCCAGACCTACTCAATTAGAATCTCCAGGGTTAGAATCCATGTGTCTAGAGGTCCCTGAATTCTGATTCAGCTAGGACTGGGTTTAGGAACTGCTGTTCCCAATGATCTTGACATCCAGTCCACTTAGACTATGTATGGAACCTAAGGAGAATACACTGAGACACACAATTTGGCACACAATTTCAGGGAACCCCAGCTCTAGACCTTTCTTGCGTCCCCATTTTTAACCAAAACATATCTTGCCTATGCCCACTCTCTGACTGACTAGATAAACAACTAATCAAAATCAATCTATTTAGCCTGCAGGTCTTAGGGTTTTTTATATTCAACAGAAGCTTTCAAATGCTTTCATCTCAAAGAATGACTAATATATGGATTTTGAGGAGGACTAACAGGCTGGTAAGGAAGTTTTGTTTGTTTTGTTGTTTAAGCAGAAGACCTTTGATGTCTCTCAGATCCCCAAGGGATCTACCCAGCTGGAAGACAATGTTGGTATTCCAGGCTGTTTCCAGTCTAATTCTAATGATTTCAAAGCTAGCTTTGGCTATCCACCATTTAACTTTATTAAATTCAGGTTACTCACTTCCTGGATTTACTCTGAGCTGAGACATGAGGCTTTATGAACAAATACTTTTCACTCTTACCAATGAGGTCAAATAATTTCATTAATAAATTATGCCCCCACTAATCTTAGTTTTATAATAAAAAATTATATATATATATATGTTATATATATATATTTACATATATATATAAAATTCATAACAAGTCCACCATCTAGGGAGGCTCTAAATTACACCCCACAACATGCCAACTACAGAGGAGAGTTTACCCATGGTAGACTGCTCCTCAGAGCTTTAGAAGACACTCTCATTCTGGAAGAGGGCCACATCACATTTTTTTTTTTAAGATTTGTATTTATTTATTTATTTGTCAGAGAGAGACAAGCAGGGGAAGCAGCAGGCAGAGGGAGAAGCAGGCTCCCCACTGAGCAACGACCCCAATACGGTACTCGATCCCAGGACGTCGGTATCATGGACTGAGCCTAAGGCAGATACTTAACCAACCGAGCCACCCAGGCATCCCAGTCACATCACATTTTTACTTATTCCTTAGAATCAATTTAATTTTTGTAGAAGGATGTGATATGCTTCTAAGTAATTCTCTGAGCTTTATACTCTGAATCTTTTCTTTTGAAAGGTTCTCAAATACTTTACCAGATATATCCCCTCATTTGTTTATTCAATAAATGAAAAAGATTTTAAGATAGATGTTAGAGAAGTACAAAGACAAATTGAGTCCTGCCTGTAAGAAGTTCAGTGTAGAGGGTGCCTGGGTGGCTCAGTTGGTTAAGCGACTGCCTTTGGCTCAGGTCATGATCCTGGAGTTCTGGGATCAAGTCCCACGTCGGGCTCCCTGCTCAGCAGGGAGTCTGCTTCTCCCTCTGACCCTCCCCCCTCTCATGTGTCTTCTCTCTCTCAAATAAATAAATAAAATCTTTAAAAAAAAAAAAAGTTCAGTGTATAGTAAGAAAATAAAAAATACACATGAAAAAAATAAAATAATTTTGAAAAAAGAAATATACATGGTGGTAGATAGAATTTAGATTAGAGAGGTTTGAGAGAATGTCTACCTCAAGGAAATACAGCAGACTAACCAAAGGCACAGTGGTGAGGGAAGTGTTTGACCTGAGAGCAAAGCAGTTTAATTTAAAGGAGCTTCCAACACTCTTTCATAATAAAAACACTCAACGAACTAAGCAGAAAAGAGAACTTCCTCAACCTGAACATCTATAAAGATCTTCTATAAAAGAACATCTATAAAACCCCCACAGCTAACATTATACTTAATGGTGAAAGACTGAATGCTTTTCCCCCAAATTAGGAATAAGACAAGGATGTCCATATTCATTTGTTCTATTCAAGATGGCATAGAATATTCTAGCAAAGACAATTAGGCAATAAAATAAATAAAAGGCATCAGATTGGAAAGGAAGAAATAAAACTATTTCTGGTTTATATAAAATTTCTCTTTATATAGACAGGTCTGAGGAATACAAAAGGAACTATTACAACTAAAAAACAAGTCCAACAAGACTGCAGGATACAAGATCAATATACAAAACTCAATTGTATTTCTATACACTTGCAGTAAAACATCTGAAAATGAAATTAAGAAAAAGATCCATTTATAACAGCATTAAAAAGAATAAAATATTTAGGAATATATTTAACAGAAGAAGTATAAGAATTAAACACCGGGCGCCTGGGTGGCTCAGTTGGTTAAGTGACTGCCTTCTGCTCAGGTCATGATCCTGGAGTCCCTGGATCGAGTCCCGCATCAGGCTCCCTGCTCGGCAGGGAGTCTGCTTCTCCTCTGACCCTCCCGACCCTCCCCCCTCTCATGTGCTCTCTCTCTCAGTCTCTCTCTCTCAAATAAATAAATAAAATCTTAAAAAAAAAAAAAAAAAAGAATTAAAAACCAACAACTACAAAACATTGTTGAAAGAAATTAAAGACCTAAATAAGTGAAAAGGCATCCCATATTCATGGATCAAAAGATTTAACTTTCTTAAGATAGCAATACTCCCTAAATGGTTCTACAGGTTCAATGCAATCCCTATCAAAAATCCCAACTGCCTTTTTTGCAGCAGAAATTGGCAAACTGATCTTTAAATTCATATGGAAAGGCAAGTGACCCTGAAAAGCCAAGACAATCTTGAAGAAAAAGTTGGAGGATTCACACTTTCCCATTTTGAAACTTACTACAAAGCTACAGTAATTAAAACAGTGTGGCACTAACATCTGAAACTAATATAACACTGTATGTTAACTACTCTGGAATTAAAAACAAAACAAAATAGGGGTGCCTGGGCGGCTCAGTCAGTTAAGCACCCAACTCTTGGTTTCGGCTTACGTCATGATCTCAGAGTTGTGAGATGGAGCCCCACATTGGGCTCCCCACTCAACAGGGAGTCTGCTTTCCCTCTCTCTCTCTGCCTGCCCCTCCCTGCACCATGCCCTCTCTTTCTCTCTAAAATGAATAAATAGGCATGCCTGGGTGGCTCAGTCAGTTAAGTGGTTAAGTGGTTAAGCATCTGCCTTCAGTTCAGGTCATGATCCCAGGGTACTGGGATTGAGTCCCGCATCCAGCTCCTTGCTCAGCAGGGAGCCTGCTTCTCCCTCTGCCTGCCGCTTCCCCTGCTTGTGCGCTTGCTCTCTTTCTTTCCTTCTCTCTCTCTCTGACAAATAAGTAAATAAAATCTTTAAAATGAATAAATCTTAAAAAATAATAAAACAAAAAACAATGTGGCAATAGCATAAGGATAGAAGAGCACAAGCTATGAGAAAGCAGTGGAAAGTACAGGCAGAAAGATAGGCTGCAGTAAGGACACTCTGTGAACATTATTATCTAGATAATGTTCATAAAATGTCTAGTACAAGATATAACCATTAGACCAAGGACCTTTTGAATCATCAAAGAAACTATCAAAGGAAACAAAGTGCTGAGGCCTTCAAGGACTGAGCTATTTTCAACCAAAATTTACAATTTTGATCTGCATCAAAAAGTCTGCCTTAGAATCTGATTTCTGAAGAGACAGTCAACAGTTTCAAAAGTGGCAGGTCCAAAAAAAAAGAAAAAAAGAACAGGTGGCAGGCCAGACTTGAAAACCAGCCCCAACCCAAACCGTCTGGACTTCACTATATTAGTGGAAACAATACAGGTGGTTTCCTACTTACTGTTCTGTATTCTGAATGTTGGTCAAACTCAGAGCTCAAAGAGTCCAAGGAGACTGCAAGAAGAAAACAGACATTAAAGTATATGATTAAGGTCAATTCTTACTCTTTTAGAATCCAGCCTGTGATTTATCCCGGCCACACCCTCTCCCGTTCTCTTAGATGCCTACCTTCTTTGATCAGCCCCCATTGCCCAGCCCCACGCCCCCAAAGAAGGGTATTGTTTTCTGGCACCTCTCCTGGCAGACACACAGAAGTAACACTTGGTCCAGGTTCTGTAATTGACCTCCCTAACAGGCTTGCTTGAGAAAGAACTTCGGAGCTATGGAATAAAAGAGAAGGAACTCTTAATAATTCACGATATTCTTCTCCTCTGTGGCTCAGGGTAACAAACGCAAAACTTAACGTTAGGCGCTACCGTTTTAACTCCAGTTTCGCGTGGGCGTCAAATCTGGCCGGACTAAAGCCCCTTTCTCATAAGCCTCAGCGTGCCTGGCGCGCTTGGCATTCCCAAGCCCTATTCCCGTCCATCTCCCGCAGAGGTTCGGGAGGGCCACTGTGTCCATAAAAAAACAACTTCTGATCTTGGGTTCCAGATAATCTGCTTCAAGGGAGAAAGAGCAGACAGCAGGGTGTCGCGACGAAGGAGCCGGGAGCCAAGGCCAAGCAAGGACGAAAGCGCATCACTGCCTCCACCGCCACCCGCCAGCCCTGCACGCCCCGCAGTTCGCGCTCCCTAGACGACCGCAGGCCGCGGGAACCGCCAGTAACGGGTGCGCCGAGGGCCGCCAGGGGGCCGGGATCCGGGGTGGGTAGCCCGGGGGCCAGACCCACCCTCTGATACTCCTCCACGCCACCCGCACCCCGTCCTGGCCGACCAGGCCCGGTGAGCGGTGAGCGTTACCTGCCAAGTCCCCGGCCAGGAGCAACAGCACCAAGCGCACGGCTAAGAGCGCCATGCTCCCTCTGTGGCCAGCCGTCAGGTCACCGCCCGCTCCCGCGACGCGCGACGAGCACCGCGCGACCAGGTCGGAGGGGCGACAGGCTGGCCTGGGGGAAGGGGCGGGGGCGGGGGGCGGGGCTACGGGGGGAGGGGCCGTTGTTACCCCCACCCTGCCGTCCCGCCGAGGATGGGGGTGAGCAATTAAGGGCAAGATCTCTCCCTGCCGCAAACAGGAACCTCGTGAGGGCCCTGGGGAGCAACTCTGGGGGCTCTGCCAGCCAACCCCTACTTCTTCAGCATCTACTCTGTCCGAGGCAGTGTTTTGGCGCTCGACTAAACAAAGGGGGTCCCCGCTCTCGGGAAGTTTTCTAGTGTAGGTGTTGGGGATGGGGTGACGCAGGAAATACCAGGTGAGTCCACGCAATAATTTCTCAAATTAGGTGCTAGAGGGTGTTGGGAGAAGGGGAAGACTTTCAGAGGCGGCATTTGAACTAGAAACTGAAGGGTGAGAGAAAGGAAGCCCGGTGAAGAGGAAAGGCTCAAGGAAAAGCCAGTGCAGAGATCCCGAAGCAGGAACCAGCTCAGGGTTTCAGCTGGAGCCGCTGGTGAGGGACAGGGAAGGGGGAGGGAGGTGGAAGCCAAGGCCAGTAGCCCGTGTGATGGTGTAGGCCACGATAAGGAATTTGGACTTGTTCTGGTTGCAGAAGAAAACAGCAGATCAAAGGTATTTGCGAATCATGGATCCAAGCCCAGTGAGAGAGTATAGCAGAGGTCCAGATCAGAGCCCTGGGACACTCCTGGATGCAGAGGAGTGACCCATGTGGAGAAGAAAGCTGTGAAGGAGGAAGAAAACCAGGCCAGAGTCGGGTTAGGGAACACTGGGGAGGTAATGTGAGCATATCACTAGCTGCCGTGAGGCTGAGAATTTGGCAGACTGAGCATGGTCATGGGCTTTAGCAAGATATAGTCACTAATGGCCCTAAGAAGGACTAGTTCAGAGAAGTGATGGGGTCCAGGGCCCAAATGGCAAGGGTTGAAAGGGATGAAGTGAGAAAGTGGAGACAGAAAGTTTAGATAACTCTTGGGAGTTTGCTATAAAAAGGAAGCCAGATATGGGCAGGAGGTAGCCTACGAGACTTCCAAAATGTCTTTTGAGGGTCCCGTCAAAGCTCTCCAATGTCTTCCCACCTTGCTAGGAGTAAAAACGAAAGTCCTTACTATGGCCTCTAAAACCTCTGCTGGTCTCTTACTGTTCCTCCTTGACTCACTCTTCCCAGCTACATTGGCCTCCTTGCTCCCATCCAGGGGCCTTAGCATTTGCTGTTCCCTCTGCCTAGATATCTACATAGCTTCTTCCTTCCCTTCCTTTTGTCTCTGTGCAAACAGCCCCATACCATAAATGCCTTCCCTGACCATAAATAATGAGTTAGTAGGGGCGCCTGGGTGGCTCAGTCGGTTAAGCGTCCGACTTCAGCTCAGGTCATGATCTCGGGATCCTGGGATTGTGCCCCTTCCCCTCAGGTTCTCCACTCAGTGGGAAGCCTGCTTCTCCCTCTCCCTCTGCCCCTCGACCCACTTGTGCTCTCTCTCTCTCAAATAAATAAATAAAATCTTAAAAAAAAAAAAAGTTAGTACTGCCCCCTTCCTATTCCCCTTACCGTCCTTTGTTTTCCCTACCCATGGAATTTATCTTGACTTTTTTTTTTTTAAACTTTGTGACACTCTCTACTTGTTTAAGCTCCAAGAGGGGAGTAATTCTTTTTTGGTTTACTGGTTTATCTCCAGCACCTAGAAGAGTGCCTCACATGAATCTCAGCAGCTCAACAAGTATTAAATGAATAAGTGAGGGATTCCTAGGGAATCAGGACCTTACCTAAAAGGACGGTCAGAATAAAACAAATCACTAGTGTGCAAAGCAAAATGGCTCTTTGGGTTACGGAGGAGTTAAACCTTAATTCCTGGGTTTGTATGCATTCATTTTTGCAGCATCGCATAACATGGCTGTGAAGAGTTTTGCAGTTGAAGACTCGGCTCTGCAAGTCACCAAATGAGCTCTGAACCTCAGAGCTTCCACTTCCGCCTTCTCCTTGTAAAATGGTAGTATAATCGTAGAATCTTGTGAGTATGAAATGAGGTAATGTACATAAATGTGCTGAGACATGGCAGAACTCAATACATTTTAGTCCCTTTCTATTTTCTCCACGATGGCATTTGTCAAGAGGGCAGTAACTCTGTTCCTAGGCAGTCGGGCGTCTGCTCCTATTTCAGGTCACATTGGCCATCGTGTTGTCACAGGGCCATTGGAGTCTGGAGGCAGCAACATTGTCTGTCTCTCTTTCTTGCCTATCCCTAGTGCCTAGCACTGGGCCTGGTGCAAGCGCAGTAAATGTTTGCTGAGTTAGTGAATCTCGGAAACGTTAAACTGACATCACAACAAGCAAATAGACCAGAAAGGGGGAGACATAGGATCCAGGAAACAAGAAATCAAACCCAAGAAAGAGTTGTTAGGGTAGATCCTAATCCAATATGACTGGTGTCGTTATAAGAAGAGGAGATTAGGACACAAACGAAACAGAGGGAGAACCTTGTGAGGATCCAGAAGACAGCCATCTGCAGTCCAAGGAGCATGGCCTAGAAGAAAGCAAACCTGTCAACACTGTGGTCTTGGACCTCCAGCTTCTGGAACTGCAAGAAAATACATTTCTGTTAGTTAAGCCACTCAGCCTGTGGTACTTTGTTATGGCAGCCCTAGCAAACTAGTATATGAATGTGATAAAAATAAATAAGTAAATAAATACATATATGCATCATTTCGTATTAAAAGATTTCATTTTAAGAAATTTAACAAAAGAAAGCTTATTTTGACAGAAACACATACATTAATGCTCTCTAACAATAACTCACATAGTATTGGAGAATAATATTGATTTACTGATTTTTTTTTTCTCCCTAAACAAGCACCCTTTGAGATATTTGCTAATTCTGAATACAAATTTTGGTAACTGTTCAGCAAATCTTAATGAGAAGTTTGGAGAAAGAGAAATAATTTTACTAAAGAGGCACAGCAAGTTAGTGAATTGGCAGATCCATTTCTTTTCTGCTTCCTACGCCTCTGTGTCAAATGCTGACCCTGTGAAATATTCCCTGTATCGGTTAGGGTCCAGTCTAGAAAACAGCAGCCTCACTAGGAATTCTCCCAAAGAGAATTGAACATAAGGCATAAGCCAGGCCAGTATTGGAAAACTCAAAAAAGCAGAAAGGGAACAATGAGGTAACACACAAAGATGGCAACCTCAAGCCATAGGTATCACCCCTAGGTCTGGGGAGAAAGAAGAGGTTGAGATTATCTAGAAATTCGGAGGAGAGTTGCCAGAAAGTGGAGACTCAGACCTCTGAGCAGGGATGTTGCGAGCCTAGTATTGATGGGTCTGAGGGAGCACAGTGAGGCCGTCTGAGACGTGTGACAAAGCCAGAGACTGGAAGCAGCTGCTACAGCCAGTGAGGGGACATTTGGGTGGGGAGGGGGGCGGGGGACCCCGCTGGAAGAAATAGCCAGCATGCAGGATCAAGTCTCTCCTCGGTCCTGCCTTGCAGGGTCCCCCTAACACATCCTGTTGGAAACCTCAGGAAGCCAGCTGACAAAGCAGAAATGAATTCTAGCCTCACAGAGTCCAGAAGGGTGGTTTTAGAGCTGATATGCAATAATCTAATGACTGGCACAGTCTCGTATCCCACCCTTTGATTTTAGCAAGATCAAGTACTGGGATGAGAAGACAATATGCAGTTTTAAACTCCATCTGGCACCACACCTGGCTGAGTTCTGACTAGTGTCATGTTTGAGGCCAGAGGGTACATTTGGAATGAGTTGTGTTAATACATTTCTGAGTCACATAATGTAAGTTCTTGGAATAAAGGCCATAAAATGAAGATGGCTTATTTTGCCAAAGACTTTCATCAAGGACTATATATGTTATATATATTATACACACACACACACTCTCTCTCTCTCTCTCAACTTTGTTAGATTTCTATTACCAAATAACAAATACTTGCTTATAAACACCTTTGTCTCTGATGCTTCAGGAATACAAACTGAAATCTGAGCATAGACTCAGGAACGATGCTTAGAGTTGTGTTAGTAGGAATTTCAGCTTCAAAAAGAAAGCCATTGGGGCACCTGGGAGGCTCAGTCAGTTAAGTGCCTGCCTTCGGCTCGGGTTGTGATCCCAGAGTTCTGGGATCGAGCCCCGCATCGGGCTCGTTGCTCAGCGGAGAGCCTGCTTCTCCCTCTGCCTGCCGCTCCCCCTGCTTGTGCTCTTTCTCTGACAAATAAATAAATAAAAATTAAAAAAATATTAAAAATAAAAAAGAAAGCCATTTACCCCTCAAGATAGATTTATTATAAATGTATGTGGGTGGATGCTGCTGCCTTCATGTAATTTGGTTCCAAACAGTGATATTGCAACTTAGAAATATTTTACACCATGGTGTTTTCATATAGTCGTCTCCGCATTTGTTAACCAGAAACAAGAGTCAACATGTTTTGTAAAGGGCCAGAGAGTGAATACTTGAGACCTTGTGGATCAGGCAGTCTGTCCCAATGAGGCAGCACTGCCATATTATAGTACAAAAGCAGACATAGACCATAATTCAAAGAAAGGGCATGGCTGTGTTCCAGTGAAATATGAATTTAAGTGTAAAATGTGAAACTGTTAGATTTTAAATTGCATCAAAAAGAATTTAAAAAGCACAAAAAGCATAAAATATGTAGGAATAAATTTAACCAAGGAAGTAAAAGACCAGTACTCTGAAAACTATAAAATATTGATGAAAGAAATTGAAGATGACACAAAGAAATGGAAAGATAGTTTGTACTCATTGACTGGAAGTTCATATCGTTAAAACGTCCATACTACCCAAAGCAGTCTACATACTAGGTATTTATCCAAAGAAAACAAAAACACTAACTCAAAAAACATATGCACCCCTATATTCATACCAGCATTATTTACAATAGCCAAGGTATGGAAGCCACCTAAATGTCCATAAGTAGATGAATGGATAAAGAAGATGTAATATACGTGATAGAATATTATTCAGCTATAAAAAAGAATG